GCTTGAATTCATTGGCACCTTCAGAGAGGGGGAGTTGTTTGGGCCTATTGATACATAAAACCCCAGACGATGAAGAGAGATTATACCTTCAAGTTGGGTTTCACAGCAGTTGATCCAACAGCCAATCTAACTTTTCTTTTCTTTCTTTCATTCTGAGATTGGTTCACGATGTCATTTCTTCCCTTCTTTAAAATTTAGTTAATTGGATGCCAATTTGATAAAAAAAAATATTAAACTAAATTCAAACTATTTTATTTTATTCGTGTACCGTTTTTTTAGTTTTGTATTTTTTTTATCGCTGATGATGACATTAATTTCGCCTTAATATATTTTTTTTCTTTTTGAATAAAAATGATAGATGAATTTATCTGTTTTTATAGTAAAACTATTTTTTCTTTTTGAATTTGATGCATCTATATATTTTTTTTTCATTTTCATTTTATATTAAATATTTTATTCATAATTCTCAAATTATTTCACTTTAACATTTTAAATTCCTAATTCCTTAAATTATTTTACATTAATATTTTAAATTATCTTTTAAAATATTTATTTTAACTCCAAAACATTTGAAATTTAATTATATTTCTTTATTTTAATTTTTAATAAAAAAATTTAAATCATGTAATTTGAATTTTTAGATTTTATGTGTGGATTATATATATTATACACATTTATATTTTAAAATTTTAAATTTCTCTATATATTTTTGAAATATAATATAATTTAAAGAATATATATATATATGAACCGGGTACCTGTGACCCAAAAATATGGGTATCCGACTTACGAGTACCCTGATGTAATGGGCCGGGACACAAGCTGACTTTTTGATACCCGAAAATTCTAGGTACTCGATTTTGACCAACCCTAACTAACAGAGTGTCACATTCAGATAATGCGACTCTTATTATTGCATTATTATTTTATAACCTAGAGTTGTATTATTTTGATTTTAAACTATGTTTCACGGAGCTCCGATTTATAAGAGTATTTTTATAACTATTATGTATGTCAAACTTGGTATCATTCTGTATGTTTTGAAAATAAAATGAACATGTTTTGACAATCTGGTATTCCCTCATTAGCTAAATATGACACTTCAAGCCCAACCGAGTTTAGAGTGTTACACAAGTACAAAAAGAACCACCATTTTCATGGACATCGAAGGCTCCCACAGCAAACAAGTAAAACCAACAGGATGTCATGATCCTCCATTCTAATTCAGAGAAAGAAAAAATCATGGGATAGCCAAAACCACTTACTCCTTATAGAACCTAGCTGCTGAAAGTAATTCCCAAACTTCTCCCTAGATTCAAGGTTCTCTCAGCCTTTCGAATTAAAGCTTTTCTTCTCTACACTCTTGTATATTCAATTTCAGCTCTTAAAAGATGCAAACAATTCTATGAAGCTACTTTCCTCTTCACGTCCGTCAAATTCCAAAAAAGCTGCAAGGGGGTGAAGAAGGAGCTATATCATATAATTTCTGTCTGCATCAATGGACTATGAGGATTGAGGAGCAAAGAAAAAGGAAAATTCCAGTTTATGCATTTCAGAAATAATGTACCATTTGACTTCAGAACAAGTATCAAATTATTGGCATTATCTTTAATGATGAGAAAATGGAAGTTTAGTTTATTTTATTTTTCTTGAATGAAAAGGGTTTATTCAATTCCATCGAAGTTATTTGCTGACCTGCAAATTGCAAGGTATATGTGAACTTTAGAAGCGTTACCAACACACACAGAAGGAGATCATGAGGTAGGCATATATAATCCCACTTGTTCCAACACACAGCTTGAATGCATACTTATTGGAGATTTGAATTCCAACACACGCATAATTCTAGTTTTGCCGACCTATTAAGTTATATTTAATGTCTACAAACAAAAAGCGTTGTAGTACTGGTTGCACTGTATGTAAAGGTCTAAATTAATCTTCTTACCTAGGCCTCGTAAGCTTCTTCGCTGCTAAATTGGTTAAATATTGGTAGCAGGACCACATACTTCATTAATTTCTTTGAACCTCAGTAATCAACTTTATTAATTTCTTTCTAGCAACTTGGCCCCCATCTCTTCCGTGGCAAACGTTAATGCACTTACCATTAATTATATTACTTGGGTAGTTTAAACAGCTGGTGAACCCTAATACAAAGTCTACTTGATCCTTTGGAAATTCCACGAGACCTCTCCTGTTCACAGCTAGATGCGGCGAAGCGGATTAATATTTTATATACTAATATTTTTTTAAGTTGTTTACTGTTGGGAACCTCCACTAGCTCTTTAAAGTTTAAACAGCTCTTAAATTGCAGCTACCTTCAGTATGGTAAACCTAGTAGCCCGACCCTTTGGCGGTTATGCTTCGGACAAAGCTGCTCAGTTATTTGGCATGAGAGGAAGGCCATGGGTCTTATGGATCCTTCAAACATGTGGAGGTGTTCTCTGTATCTGGCTGGGCCGTGCCAATACACTCCCCATTGCTGTCTTGGCAACGATCCTCTTCTCCGTTGGAGCTCAAGCAGCCTGTGGAGCCACTTTTGGCATCATCCCTTTTATTTCACGACGATCTTTGGGAATCATTTCAGGTCTAACAGCCGCAGGTGGAAACTTCGGGTCCGGATAGACTCAGCTAATATTCTTCTCAACCTCTAGCTTTTCCACAGCAACAGGTCTTACTTGGAAGGGAGCCATGATTGTGGCTTGTACTCTTCCTGTTACTCTGGTTCATTTCCCAAAATGGGGCAGCATGTTCCTTCCACCTTCAAAAGATGTAAACAAGTCAACCGAAGAACATTACTACTCCTCGGAGTGGAACGATGACGAAAAGAAAAGAGGCATGCACTCTGCTAATCTCAAGTTTGCCGAGAACAGCCGGTCCGAGCGCGGAAAGCGTGTGGCCTCAGCATCAACCCCACCCAATACAACACCAATATCCCATTTTAAGCTATACAGTCATCCAATATATTCTTTCTTGTTCAATATTGACGAGGGTTATGCTCTGTTGTGTTCTGAAATCTGAATTAAGCTTTGTTGTTTAGATGAAACTAGATATTATAATATCCATAACAGCCAGGGATTCGGGTTAATGCTGGAAATGAAGAAAATAATCTAAGCGGGAACTGTTTATTGATACGCATCTCAATGCATGATTCCGTGGCATTCCAAATTTTTGTAATTAAGGGACAGTTGACTTGTCGTTCATTGTGAAACACAACTAGAGTTTGCCCATCTATACAAAAGCATAACATATTAAAATAGTAACACATTTCAATTATCTATTCGGTACATTGCGTCACCACAAGTATAAGATTTTCTCAATTATATAGATACGGTGAAAAGCTACAACCGTCACTAAAGTTTAAATAATTTATTGGCTTTATTAAGTTTAAGAAGTCATAAAATTAATTAATTTAAAGAAGGGTTTGTTACCTAGTAAAAAAAATTATGCAAAAACCAAACCATCTTGGTGGTAGAGGAGTTGTTGTTGTTATTATTTGAGGCCTCGGGTTCGCACACTGAGAATAGTTAAGAGTTATCTTTAGACATATATTGTTTTGTATTTACATCAGATTAATCAAAAAAGAGTTAAAAGAAAAATATGAAATAATAAATACGAGTCTCTTTGTCCAACATTTTTTCCATTGAATGAAATTAAAAATTATTTTGTTTATGATAAAAATAATATTTAAATTAAATTATGATTAACATAAATTAAGTGATCTCAATGGTTAAGGGAATAATTGTTATCCTTAGAAATTTCAAATTTGAACACGACGTCTGTATTGAGAGTTATGACTAAAAACAATTGTATTTATTTTATAAAAGATATGTTGTTATAATATTTTATAATTTACACATTGAAAGATACTAATTTTTTTTTAAAAAAAAAACCGACATACCAATTGTCCTAATATGACATATAAGATTATCAATATTCAAGTGATGAATGTTAAAAACTAATTAATTTTTTTATTATAAAATTAATAATATTATTAACCACAATATAACTTTTCAAATGTACGTAAAGTTTAATGACCCTCGACTTCATTTATAAAAAAAAAATCTTAATTGGGACGTGAGATTTTTTTAGTAACATTACTGTAACCAAATTGCATGGGGGTGATTGGTTTCACTTTGGTTATAAAATTACAACTTGTTTGGCCATCTTTAGAAGTTAAATGACGATTCCATTCATATAAAAATCAAGGTAAGGGGATGTCCTCACGTCAGAAAATGATGATTCACCCCTTTTGGTGTCAGCACAGAATAGGATTGAAAACCACAATTTACAGCACCCAAAATTCCAACTTCTTTTGGACGGTACATAATATCTGAAATCGTACTATTACTGAAGAGAATGATGAAAATCTTTCCCCAAATGTCTAATAATATGCAAGAAGCTGTTAACCTTTGCAAATTTTAATCTCATTGTTCTAAAAATATGAAAATATCCTGCATGATTTGTGTGCACAAATATCAGCAATTGTATATTCAGCAAAGGATGTGGGAACTGTCATTCCAGTTGCAAATACTCGTTCAACTCACGGCTCTCTATTTGCTTCAAAACACAGCTCGTGGCGCCTGCTATAATAATTTATTTATATATGGCCTTTCGATACAAAGCAAACGGCAACGAGGATAGCCAAATTCCTCTTTTGGTTTAGATATTACGAGGCTCTGCAAATATTACGTAATACATCGAACCACAGGCTGATAGTCAAACATGTTTACATCAACCACCCAACAGCTACAGAATAGTGGCAACGCTGTTTTATTAGAAAACCCATAAATTTATGATTTTTATACAATTTATGAGCAAGCAAACTGACCCTTTGGCATATACGATAGGACCCTCCCCCCACGTTCAAATCTAGCTGGAATCCCAATGACTAGGAATCTCCAGCCCTAGCTCCCTTAGGGCTTTTACGAAGTCAAAGACTCATTTTCCATTATAAATATACTGGAGTTGGGATCCATTGTTTCACCACAACATAAACATAAAACACTAGTTAGCAAACTTTCCCTTCCTATTGCCAACTTATCTCTTTGAAGAGGCAGAAATGGCTCGCGTTGAAGGATCTCCAGGAAGCTCCATGCATGGAGTCACTGGAAGGGAGCCCGCTTTTGCCCTGTCAGTTGCTTCACCAATGGTCCCAACTGACACAACCGCTCACTTTGACTTGCCTGTGGATTCTGAGCACAAAGCCAAAGTCTTCAAGCTTTTCTCTTTTGCCAACCCTCACATGAGAACCTTTCACTTATCTTGGATCTCCTTCTTCACTTGTTTTATCTCCACCTTTGCTGCTGCACCCCTTGTTCCCATTATTCGTGACAACCTCAATTTAACTAAACAAGACATCGGTAATGCTGGTGTTGCTTCTGTTTCTGGCAGTATATTCTCTAGGCTTGTGATGGGTGCAGTTTGTGACCTACTGGGGCCTCGTTACGGATGCGCGTTTCTGATTATGCTATCTGCTCCAACTGTCTTTTGCATGTCATTTGTTTCGACTGCCGGTGGTTACATTGCGGTCCGGTTCATGATCGGATTCTCGCTCGCAACATTTGTGTCTTGCCAGTATTGGATGAGCACAATGTTTAACAGCAAGATTATCGGTCTTGTCAATGGAACTGCCGCCGGATGGGGTAACATGGGAGGAGGTGCCACTCAACTTCTAATGCCCTTAGTTTACGACATTATTCGACAAGCCGGTGCTACGCCGTACACTGCTTGGAGAATTGCCTTCTTCATACCCGGGTCATTTCACATCATCATGGGCATCTTGGTCCTAACCCTTGGACAAGACTTGCCTGATGGGAACCTTAGCACCTTGCAGAAGAAGGGTGATGTCGCGAAAGATAAATTTTCCAAGGTAAGTTTCTTTTAAACTTTTAATCTTTTCTCAAATGCTCAAAACTCTGATATATCAAATTTTTACTAATAAACTCCTAATCGTTATTCAGGTGTTGTGGTATGCTGTTACAAATTACAGGACCTGGATCTTTGTCCTCCTATATGGCTACTCCATGGGAGTTGAATTGTCCACTGATAATGTTGTTGCCGAGTACTTCTACGATAGGTAAGATGGCATCCCCTCTTTTTTTGAAACGCCAAACGATTAAGGTTCTTAAAGTGATCATCTTCTAACTTGAAATAGGGCTGTTGATGAACTAAACATAATTTTCTATGGTGACAACAGGTTTAATCTCAAACTCCGCACAGCGGGAACTATCGCTGCTACCTTTGGGATGGCAAACCTTCTTGCTCGGCCCTTTGGTGGTTATGCTTCCGACGTAGCAGCTCGATACTTTGGGATGAGGGGCAGGTTATGGGTGTTGTGGATCCTCCAAACCTTTGGAGGTGTTTGCTGTATCTGGCTCGGACGGTCCAATTCACTTCCGATTGCTATCTTATCAATGATTCTTTTCTCCGTTGGAGCTCAGGCAGCATGTGGTGCCACTTTTGGAATTATCCCATTCATATCGCGACGATCGTTGGGGATAATTTCAGGCATGACAGGAGCAGGAGGGAACTTTGGATCAGGATTGACACAGCTAATATTCTTCTCAACTACAAGATTCTCCACAGCACAGGGTCTTACTTGGATGGGAGTCATGATTGTGGCCTGCACCCTTCCTGTGACATTAGTTCACTTCCCACAGTGGGGGAGCATGTTCCTTCCTCCTTCAAAGGATGTGGTAAAGGGCACTGAAGAGAGCTACTATAGTTCTGAATGGAATGAGGATGAGAAGAAGAGAGGGTTGCATCAGGGAAGTCTCAAGTTCGCAGAGAACAGCCGGTCCGAACGCGGCAGGAAGGTTGCATCGGCTCCTACTCCGCCAAATTCCACACCAGAATCAAGGGCATGATATGCACGTTCAACTCAGTATAATCAAGATAAAGCTTATGATATTCTATAATTGTAGTTGTGGAACGCTTTTGTAATGTGTTTTAAGAAAAACAGTTGTCTACCATAAAGATGAAATAGAATGTGATTGCACCCAGGCCATAAGAAATATTCCAGCCAGGTTTTGTTGCAAATGAAGAAGAATGAAGCCGAGTCTTATCTCTGTAGAAAAATCAGATGCTTGTGATCATCATTTGGGTATTTTTTAGGTGTATTATTGGTTGAACTCCTGAATATTAAATCCAGAGGTGGCATCATTCGATAATTGAAATTTAATACAGGAATAAAAGGGAATCTTGAACATTTTTTCTTCCAGAGATCTTGGGGGAGTTGACTTAGCCTTGCCAACTACAGGATAAGATCAAAGAAGAAATATAAATTAGTAAGTATTGACAGTAACATGGCTAAATGAAGTAATGTTGTTAAAATATTGGGAAGCGGATACCCAAAAAATATTTAGAGATTTGGAATCTTTTCTACATTACCCTTTAATCTTGTCATGTTTTTCCGATGTTTTTAACCAAGTCGTTATATTTCTCCGACGATTTTGCATTGAATTTAGTTTATTGACCAAAATAAAAGCACCCCTAATAGTTTGTGATTAATAGGATAATTTATCCTAAAATAAAATATCAGTTTAACAGCCATGTAACATAGTAACATAGAAGTTGATGATGATGTGACTGAAGGATTTGAAGTTAAGAATAGATTTTTAACAATTAGGCTTAAATTTTTAAATTTGAAAAGTTGAGGGACTTGATTCTTGAAAATAAAAGTAAATGGACTAGATTTCAAATATATAAAGAGCAAGGGGACTTGGAGCATATTTTAACCTAAAATGGAAATATTTAAGGCTTTCGGACGTGGACCTTTTTAGGAACACTAATGGGAGCTTGTTGGGCCTAAGATTAAATGCTTATCATAACATCTCAACCTATATGCATGCAGGGAAAGAAATAATGAGGATACGCATCGATATACCCAGCTCAGCTGTATATTCTTTGCGGTCCTTTTCGGCACTTTCTTCTGACATTTTCTTCAGCACAAATCCTTGGCCTTTGCATTCCAAACATATCCCAAAACCATTAAAATCTTCACAGGGTCTCCAAGGAACCCTTCAATTTCAAAGCAAACAAACAGAGGTGAAGGCCGAGGCAAAGCGATATGAGCAAACTAAATGTATTTGAGCAAGTACAAGGCAAACTTTTTGAGGAATATTTTTACTTGCTTAAACCAACATTCCTGAAACATGAAGTACGGACCTCAGTTGCATCAGAGGCTTTAGTTCTCCTAACAAGAAATTAATACTGCTGCACCACCCACAACTGCTGCAGCAATTGCTACTGAAGCAGCCATCGTGTGGATAATTTTTGAGTATGTTCTTGTGATCTCACAGTATTGATCAAGGAAGAGGCTCTATAATCCAGTACACTCTGGACTTTTGGCCACGGATCTCCAAATGTTGCACAATATCAGAAGGAAATATTAGCATAAGCAACCTTACAACCTAACAAGACAGTATCTCATGCATAAATTGCTCAAAGGAGCTTATGTGGCGTCTTTAAGTGTCTGGAAAAAGTCCTTTTAAGTTATATTATTCTGAATATATCAATCAAATCAGTGTAGCTCAAGCAAATTGACAATTTGCCACAATCCATCAATCAAATCATCAACCAGCACAACTCGGTCTCCAACAAGGCAACAACACAGGTAAATCTTTGGAACAACATGAAATGAAAAAAAAGCAGAATGTATAGAGAGTGTTTTCAACAATAAATCAAGCTGCTTGCCAAAGATCATGGAAGCTTTGTAATCAACTCCAAAATGCAGCTTAAAGAACTGAACAGACAGGAAACCAGAGCCCAATTCCCAGTGGAACTGAAACTTGTTTCCATCTTACTCAAAGTATCTAAGCTATTTGTTAAAAGAAGTTGGGGCATATCAAAGGTTAATTAATGGCATCATGTTAACCCTCAATTAAGTTGTTACTAAACATGGCTTTTATGTTCCTTCCAGTTCAAATCTTAATTGTTCATTCATTTGAAGGGCCATAAATTCAATATATATCGGCAACAAGGTTGAAGATGCATAGACAAAACGTGAAACTAGTCCCCAATTTGCAGGACTGGTTGAGATCTCACTCCCACAGAGTTAACGCATCTAAATAATTAAATCTCAACACTAAACACCACCAAACATTAAATCGTTTAAATTTTGACATTAACACCCCTTCTCTACGTTCATTTAACACTGCTCACCTACTGCTAAATGAAGGAGAGTTGCTGTAAGATTTCAACTTTAATTATTTATTTATTTTTTTATCAACTTTAGATGAAAAAGTAACCCAGATATATCAAGCTTTTACGTTGTGCTGGAAATTTGGTTAGCTTTCATTAATGGAGAGTTAAGCTTAAAGACCAACTACATTACATTAAATGCAGGCACGAATGAGAAAATCACCAAGTTTATTTGAAGCTTCAGTTCTATTGCAAAATTGGGTACATAATTGTTCTGCTAGCAGGAGATGCATGTGTTATCGGGATGGACTGACAAATGGCTTGAAAAGTGGAAAAAAAAATATTACACAACCATGGGAATTATTGGTGTTGATGAAGAGGCAGGCAACAGTTAACAATTAACAATTAACACCGGAAGCTAAAGAAGTTTGAGCAACCTGTCCTAAACAAAACCAACAATTTTATTGGCTGATTTATTGTTACTTTCTTTCTTTCGAGATGTATTTTTTTTTACTGTGAAAATGGGGATACTAGTAATTGCGTATTCCATGCTTCATGTAATAAGCTTATAGTAAATAAAATACTGTCACCTTGTTAATTTTAATCAAGTTATTTAATTTAAAAATGAATAACGTGAAAAAAACCAGAAATTTGAAAAATACATAAAGCTGAAATCAAATTCGATTAAAATTGAAAAAACTCTCCAAATTTAGGGTTTTTTATTTGAAGCAACAAATTTTGGTTTGATAGTGTAATAACGGGCATCGTACAGTAAAAAAGGGGGTAGCCAACCCACCTCACCAAATTCATGATCGCATCCTAATGCAACGCTATAGCTATGGCTTATGTATTTATTTTCACCTACTCACCAGCCTATTTAATAACACCACACCACCCTCCTTTGCAAAGGAAACCAAACCACCACCAGGAGACTCGCAAAACGACTCGTCTATCCCTCCAAAATGTCTGTCGCAAATGGTTGCATCGTTTTCGTGTATGTAATTTTGATGTTTTCTTCTTCTTTGGATGTTACCGTGGGCGGTCGCTATATCCCATCTAGTGTTCCCAGCACAATGAGGCCGGCATCCGTTGATTACCTGAAGACTAATCCTCAAGTTCTGCTCAATCACAAGCCCAGGGTTAAGCATAACAAGGATCAATTAAAGGGTTGCATGCCCAAAGGGTTTCGCCCTTCATCTGCTCCAAGCCGCTATGTTAACTATCAAACACTTGGCTCCTCTTGTGCTACAAAACTCCACTAATCCCAAATTTAAAACTTTGCTTCATCATATCATACTTTGGTCGGATCTTGAGAGAAATCATGTAAGTTAATTATGTCATGTATGTATGTATAACAAGAATTCGATTTCTTTTGTTTTCTTGGGAGATGTGTGGGGTACATAATGCCTATGTCTTTGGCCATATATGTGTGAATTGAACATGTTTTTGGGTGTACTAACTTCATTTGTTTTTGCCCAAGTAAGATTAAAGTGCAAAATCCAAGTTTGAACATGGTGGGACAAATTTTTCCATTTTGAATTCTGGGCCTGTCATATATTAAAAGAAAACCAAAAATAACTCTGGGCTGTTCAACTTTGGGGATTTGAGAATGAACAAATCCCTTCAGGGCTTGAACTTTGAGCATTTAAATGTTAAAGCAAATGTTTTTCTTTTTTATTTCAGGAGAAACCCAACCCAATGATTAAGGGACGATGGTCAGCTGTATCAAACAAGTTAAAAGGTGAGCATATGGAATCGATTGCAATGGAATTATGAGAGGACACCACGGTGCTCAAGGCATTTTTAGTTCCTTGAATTACAAGACACTTCAAATTATTAGTACCGTGCACCCTATCCATCATGACATACAGTATGCATAAATATTTTTTTAATAATTTAGATGAATACAAGAAGCAGAAAAGCAAGTAACTAAAATAAAAAAAAGGTGGCAAGAGTTTCATATATGTGACCCACATGTTCTTTGTATTGCTTTTAAGACAGCACTATCTTATCAACCTTACTAGTCAAGAGAAAAAAAAAACACGCCAATGACTTGCTGACATCCAATTCGTCGTCCCGCCAAAAAAACCAAACCAAATTATACAGACAGATTATACAAAACTTATTCATGTTTAGAGTCTCCTTTTATGAAATAAAAAATGGACAAATGAGCATAAACATAACAATAAAAAACAAAAGCGGGGTTCGTTAGCCTTTATATAAAAAAAATTCTTTTTATATATTTATATAAAGAAGACCAATTGATAGTGCATTCCAATTTCCACAGATGCAAGTAGTCATGGAAAACAAGAGACTTCAGAGTTGGAAATGGTGTGATGGCAAAACAAACACCCTGAGTTCTTATCCATAACAAATTAAAGCGAGCCTTGGAAAACAAGAGACTTCAAGTTGACAGAGTGATGACAAATAATGATTAACAAAGCAAAGCAAGAGATATTATATATCTATCCATTTATTTGTTGTACTCCTATAAAACAAAACACAGGCTTCAGCACCAACGTCTTCTCTCTCCAACTCGCTCACTCGCTTCACTCTTTTCCTTTTCCTCTCTCTCTCTCTCATTGAAGTTCTTTTTCTTACTCAAATCCAGGTTTGCTTCGTCCTCTCACTCCCCTTTAGCTTCTGACGCTTTTTAATTTAGTTTGTTTGACATGGAATCTTAACTTGTTTTGTCTGCTCTTGGTTGATTAAGTTACTAAGAAGAGACAAAAAGTTTGAAGCTTTCAGGTTGTTTTTGGGTCGGTTATTTATAACTCAGCATCAGCTTCTTTAACAATTAGTAATTGTGCTAAGGAACGATTGCTTCTGTTCACAGTTTTGGTTTTTCTGAAGTTGATAGAGTTATGGGTTCCC